AGATGCGTCAGAGCATAAACATTGTTGTGGGCGCCGTTATTTGCCGTACTAGGCAAACACGGTAGAGCTTGCCAGACGCATCTGGGCATAAATAGTATTGTGGTCGCTAGCAGCCATCCCATACCCAATGGCATGAGCAACAAAACTAGGCAGCACACGTATACACTTTCTCTCTGACTTGTAAGGCCATCCCTTTCAACTATAAAAGGGGATGCGCTCTCTCCCAACAAAGGGGCACGAGATGACTCGATGACTTGACGACCTGAGGATTTGAACAGCTCAATAGCTCTATAACTCTACAGCTACACAGAGCATACGCTTTAATACTTAGCGTATGTTAGAGCACCCGTCACTCTCTTCCATTCGGTTCAGAGTCCGACCGGGCCCTTAACACCCCCTTCTCATTCGTTACTCGTTTGTAACTCTACAACAAACTTCGAGCACCTGGGCTCAGGAATAAAGTCATCGACCGACTGAAACTGGACGTAGGTCCTGTTGCCTGAACTAGTATAAATCCTGTGTCATTGAGTGCTAGGCCACATCCGATCATAATGCATGGTAAAACTATAAATATTTACTTGTTGGTCACATTTCGCACCGACACCATCCATCCATCATTGGTCCTTGTCATCTCCTCTCTAGGACTAGTGTTGCTAACCTTAGATGCCACTGAACTATCATTCCTCTCATATCCATCTTTGGCAACAACCTCCACAGCAATGTGAGCCACCCTTTCATCCCATTTATCCTTCATCATTACCTGCCATTGATCATTCCTTCTAATTTTCCATTCAGAGCCAGTATCAGTGTCCAAAACCCAAATTGACAATGTCTGGCTAGGTCCCTAGATAATCTTTGTAGCAACATCATCATAAAACTAAGCTAGACTGTACCAAGTGCTCTTATCCAGCCACAACTCATGCTCTTGCTCAGCCATTTCTACCACACCACCATACTAACCATTAGCGTTGTACTTAGCAACCTTAAAACTACTCTAAACGCATTGCCAAGTTCAATCCTGAAATGAATATAAACATTCCACAATTAGACATACACCTAGGTCATGCAATCTGCTACCCGTACTGGCGAGAACTTGACTTACCAAGGGGGGCAACCGGCAGGATCCATGCTCAAAGGTCCGGATCAAGCGCGTCCTACATCAGCCGCCTACAAATGAACAACAAACATAGGAGTTCAGGCCAAGAAAGCCGAATCCCCCCAAATTCCCATCGAACCCTAACCCTAGTTCGCCAATGCTACATGCATAATACGGGGCAATGACTTCACTAACCTTCCTTGCGTCAGGAGCACTTGTGGGAACTGCGGATACGTTGGGTTAGAACGAGAACGGGGCACTGTCGTCACCAGAGGTCGGAGTCGCCGCGGAGCGGGAGGAGAACGAGGAAGAGGGAGAGAATGGATGGGGAATAAATGGAATGAATTGAGCGAGGAGGCCAGTGGACAGGATAAAGCGGTAGGGGCAGCAACATCTTTTCCCCTGCCTGATCCACGCTGGCAGGGTGATCTGGACTATCACGATGCCAAAAATGATAAAAATAATGCAAAGAGAACTATTCATATGACAAATGTGTAAATGCCAAACTAAGGTCAAGACGAGTGCGTCTGGCATCTATGCCGAAAATTTAATTTTCCCGAAAAAAGGGTGAAAACGCGTTTCGCTGTTTCTCACTTTTGCTCTCAGCCCTATTCTCCTCTTCGCGGCCTTACAAACCTAGAATCGTCTAATCTTGTTCGTACCTACACATGGATCCGTGCGGCACAAGTTTTTGGGATGGTTTCCTGGCACGGGTAGGCGCTTCCCTGCAGGAGCAGGACACAACCAGAAGGTTCCCTTCTTGGCTTCTATGTTTTCCTTTGGCGATTTGCACTTCCACGAGTTGTTGGTGTATGCTACCTTCTAGATTCTGATCTTAAGCATCTTTCTGACTCCATTTGGCTGTGGTGCTCTTTCTTATTTCACGGAGAAGGTTTCCTCTTCGTTTGGACATGGTTTTTGTATTGTAGATGGATCCTTTCAGGTGGACAACTTGTATTGTCATGATGCGATTTCTGTTCTGACGAACTGCCTGCCTTTTTAATGTAGAATCTAGGTGTCCCATTCCCATCTGGGGTTTCAGATTTGGTTTGGGACTAAAGAGATGAGACCAGGTATCCACCTGTTTTCATGTGTCGAACGCTCTTGGTTCTTGTCGATGTAACCTTTTCCCCTGGAAAATTTTGTGGTATCTCTGGATGCATTTTTCAGATGATGGGTGGACTCTTTCGTTGATTTCAGCGCCCGTTCTGAGCAATAAAATAACCTATGTGATGTATCAGTAAATTGGTTGTTTCTAGAGAGAGTGGATTGGATTAGTTTCACAGGAACCTGGTACTTCAATCCATTTCTTGAGATGAGGCAAAGCACGGCTTGTTCTAGTAAGAAATTCCACATCTGGTACATATGAGGGAGAAATATCTGCTTCTATGCTTCTCCCGTTACAAAAAGCCCTTTTTGGTTGTTTGCTACTTGACTTCTGTCTCATCATTTGTTTATCCTTATTAGCAATTATTTATATGAGCCGGCATGTGAAACAAGGCAGCTGTAGTTGAGTTTGTTTTTGCTTTCATGCTCTGGAAATTTTATTGTATGGACTGCTCACATAAGAATCTTTTGCTCATTTCTATCCATGCTTATGCTCATCCAGTTCGTTCTTGCATGGGGGAAGAAATTCATTAGATCTGTGAGATAGGCTCCCACTAATTTGCATAAAGTAGCATGTCTTAGTGGCTTATGTTATGATAGTCCATAAGGCTGTTTTGTTTCCATGATTAGTTGGGTACAAATTTCATAGATGGAGAATATGAGCTACATTTTTCAGATGGAGCTTTCTTTCTTTCTGCAACTTTATTGCTCAACTTACCTGTTTCTGATCGAGAAACCAGTATTTAAGTTGAGCATAATTGCTTTAGGCGATTCTTCCTCCTGTTCCCACTTCAAAAAAGTGCCTCATAGTAAAAACTTGTTTCCATTCTGAAGTATTTTTGGATATGATGATTGATATCTTGCCACCTTCTATTTTGATTAGAGGAGCAACCTTGTATGCATTTGTAGATTGTGATCTATTTTTCTGCTCATACTAAGTTCCATCACATCTTAGTTATACAGTTTTTCTTGAGCAAATGAGGTCAGTTGAATAGTTTCGTTTCATCTATTATAAAGCTTTGTTTCCTATCTGTTTATATGCTTTTTGTTATGGTTGGAGTAATGTTAGTTAATAGTTGAATTTAGCATGATTGCAGTATACATTGGCTTTTTGTGTTGTATTCATCATACCAGTTTACTTAACAATTCTTTGATATCGTGCAAATTTAGTGGCTTTGGAATGATAGTGGTAGTTTTTGTAAAGTATGACCCTGTCAAATGTGATCTTGCACAAATATGTTCATTTCTACCAAAATTTCGATACATTCAGAAGATTGATAGCTGTTCTATTACTGACAAGTGTTATTTTTTGTGGTTATATACATAATTACAATATATCACCTTTTCTTAGTTTCTGTGTATATGGTCTCTATCTAGTGGAAGTATTTTCTTTAAATTGAACTGCACAGTTTTCCTTTTGATATGTTATTTCTGTGGGGCCTCTTCAAATGGTAATGGTTGGTTACAACATAGAAAACCTGAAAAACAAGAAACTCTATAGAAGTTATGATGGCGACGTGTTGCTACAATCTGCCATCTTGTTAATTTGAATAGAGTGGGGTGGCCTAAGATCATAATGGAATTGTTTTTCCTTAAGATCTCTACTCAATTGTTTTTTGTGGCTTCTCTCTTTCCTAACCTGTGGACTATGCTAAACTACTGCTTACTGCTGGAAACCGTGGACATAAATTGACCTGTATGTTGCTTCCTATCAGAGCTTAGTTACAATTGAGGTGCAAATAATTGGAATAGATCTGCAAAAAATGAGCTCTACACTCTAGCATGTAGGGCATATGATTTATTGGTGAACTGCCTATAAGATTGCATCCCTACTGTAGTACCTGCATTTACCTCTTAGGTTAATAACTTGTTGGTCTTTCTGTTTGTGGAGACATTATTTCATTATTAGCTTCATATCTACATATCTACAATTATGAACGTGTGGTTTTTGAATTTGTATCATGTTCAGACAAACAACCGATGATAAAATTGTGAATCATGTCTAAACTAGCTGCTAGATAAGCAATTTGCTGCAAGTCAATGAACAATATTGCTTTGCTTGCAGTTCATAGGTTTCTACTATCACAATATGAAAACTACTTGTAAGCCAAACACAGTTCAGGCTTCACATCCTGTGATCATTGGTGATGTCAGTCATGATTACATTTTAAAGGGCATTCTGATCTTTATCTATATACAGTTTCTCCTCTACCATTTCGTGTTTATTTGGGTTGTTTTCTGATGACGGCTCGAGCAACATGCAAATTGGTTGAATCCCTACTTTGCCTGGCCCCCGTCTTTTTTTCATATAATATTCCAGTTCATTGCTTCAGCCTTCAGCGTTCTATTGAAATTGAAACAAAGAATACGGCACTCCTGCCTTTTATATATCGTGGAGCTCACTGCAAAGCTACTTTGAAAAAGTTCTCCTGTTTTCACTTTTCAGACCTCTTATTCCTATTGGTCCATTTGTTTCAACAGATTGCTTCATCACAGTTTGATTGCAGTCGTGACGAGTTGCAATTCCGTTCAGTCAGCTGCTCTATTTTTGTGCGCATTCATGGTCATGACGAATGATTGCTGCATTAAAATGGTGAAAGATAAACTTAGTATTTTACAAACGTGATCTTCTTCTTTTTTATGCATATTCAAGTGAATTACAATTCTACTCAAAAATTTCAAGTGACCCAAAACAAAAGATACTTACCCTACAGATAACTAAATCCAGAACAAATATTAGCAATGGATTGTACAACAGACAGTTATCTTATGTTGTGTATACATGTTCATGCAGTGTTTACATGGCATCAGCTTGGTCACCAACGGGCTTGGCATCAACGTAGTTTGCTTGATGCTGGTTACCAGCATACAAGTTCCTTCGCCCACGATTGTGCCCATCTGTTCCCACCAAAAGAAAGGGATGTCAAAAGCTTTGCAGGAATCAACAACATTCTCATATGTAAAATGTTGACCTCATGGCACTATCATAACCTGTGGCCATGCAAAACAGGACCGCCAACTATCATGTGCATTTCATTAAGTTTCACTAAAATTACGAGGGCAAATGTCTATTGTATTACAATACTGCGTAATATACAGCATGCAGAGAAGCATTGTACACCACTGAAATAAACTTCCCTTGTTTGGGGCAACCATCCATCCTAAACTGGAAGCAGAAATGAATGTTTTCTGCAGCATCGTGCAAAGTTCCATAAACCTATGGTTAAGGAACAAATGGATTAGTATTTACCACTTTCACCATCTGATGCCTCAGCAAGCCTTGCTATCGCGTCAATCAACGACTGTTCTTGCTCCTGCAGGTATTGACAGTTAAGATTAAATGAATGCTTGTTGATAAGTTAACTTGTGCATTCTGGTTTACCTTCAGTGCTTTCTTTGCCTTTTCTACTTCCTGTGGATCAGGATTGCTAACGCTAAAAACTTTCTCCACCTACATGAGCAGATATAGCAAAAGAAAAGTAAAATGATGTGCACAAGATCTGCAGTTCATTGTAATCATAAATATTCTGAGTTCACTCAAGCCAACCTCTTTTATTAGGCTCTCGGTATGAAGGATATCAATGTCATCAGAACTTCTCTTGCCAACACCATTTTGTGGAGGTGGAAAATCTTTCTTAGACATGTTCTTGTGTAATCCTCTTCCTCTTCCAGAACCTGGCATGGGCCCACCGCGACCTGTTGGCTTCCTAACCCCACTAGTTGGGGCACCTCGGCTGCGCAGATATGTCACAGGGTCTATCCCAGAGTCATCCTCTTGCCATCTTATGTCTTCAGGCCCCATCTGTACTCAAGCAATTTTCACCATAGTTCCATCAAATTAAAGGTTTTGGTGGGCAGTAACAGATACTTCTTAACACAAAAGTGTGGACACTGAATGCATGGCCAGATAATGCATTTGAAATAAGTGAACAAGATAGGAGAGATCAATGTTTTCTTATTGTCTTTTAATAATGTTATGTCAAGCATGACATGACTTGAAATAATGTTTATTATCTAACAATTTCTATTGCCTTATTTTATTACTAAATTATGAGAAAATCAATGAACTGAACAGAAATCAGCCAATCACTACTAACCCAAACCAGATAGCAATCAGCAAGAATAACACAGTAAACCACTGGCAGCTGACAAAGTTATTACTAGAATTTCAACGACCTCACTTCAGATTAAAAGGTTACAGGACCAGCCATCAGCCACTCGTTTGCACAAGATATTGACACCACAAGCAGCTGCATATTATTATGTCAACATTGTCCTACCCAGTGTAAAATGTGGAGGAAAAATACCTTAAAAATGTTTCGCAACAACAGGACCCAAAAGTATGCTAATCTGGATGAACACCAACCGTATTGAAAGCAAAATTTGGTAAATGGAAGCTTGGCAATCTACCGCATTTGTATTAGTCTAGTAATCAAGAGCCCCTTGCATGAGAATATGCTTACATGAATTTCATAGAGATCTCAACTTCATATTCTGCTGTGCCTGTCTACTTCCCTTTATATATCAGTTTTAATTGTCCATCAGCACAAGTCCATGCTGACACAGCATATGGATGTGCGAATTGATTTAGGTCAGCAAATTTCATCAAAGTAAAATTTACCTTCACGTTCACAGCTGGTGTGACTACCATCTATAAAGATAATTTTCTGAAAGCTAGCTGCGAAAACAAGTGATCCTAAACTACAACTTGCCCATCCAGTGTCAAATTAAAAAAACAAAAGAATATCAGAAAGGAAAATATAAAAATGTCAAGTGACCAAAGTATTCTCATTATAAATAGCATCTATGTACCTCTTTAAGATCAACCCACTCCCAGGTTTCATTTGCCGTATTGATGTCATAAACCAGCGCATAAAGGCCCTGCAATGAATTCCCTAAGAAAGAGCTGGAGGCTTGAATCAAAAGCAACTACCTCGGTATAGTAAAAACATACCGTTTCAGCATTATAATCGGATATGACTGCTTCATAGAAACTATTATCTTCAGGCCACCGACTCATCACTTTACGACCAACCAATGGATCGAGATTCTGAGCTTGAGCTTCAGGAGCAGAACCACCTGGAAAATTCCTATTCATGTGTGGTCCTCTTCCACTAGGACCTGCTGAAGATGACATGGGCTTGGCTGCAGAGCCACCTGGTACCTTCTGACCCTGAAAGTGTATGAACTTCTGCCAATGAACAGAAAGGAAGACTTATGGGAAAAATAACTCATTCAAATTTTCTACTTACTGGTTTCGTCTTTTTGCCTTTAGGGCCTGGGGGGACTGATTTCCTAGCAGTTGAAGACGATGGCTGTGTTGGTGTAGCCAGCTGCTGTGAATGCATTGCAGGTAAAGCAGGAACAGATTGAGATGTCTTTTGTCTCTTACGGCCAGAGGTGGTAGGACTGGGAACAGGGTCATGAATCGGTTGTGGGTTATTGGACAGGCTTGCCTGAAGCCCTCCTGTTGATCTCCATTCCCTTAAATAAAAAGGCAACACAGATTTCGAATGCTGAAACCAAGATAATTTGCATACTGTTACTACAAAAAATGCTGTTCATGCTACCTTATGCTACATATAATATTATCGTTGTTGACTCTATTTAACAGCTCCCTGTGTGCTTTGTCAGATACTCTTAGCTCCTTCCTAAGTTCAGTCATGAGACCTTCCTTCTCCTGGAGAAGGTTAGAGTTCAGTCAACTTTGAGAAATGCCATCCAAATTATCAGACACCAAATGAACAGTGAACAGTTTAATGGTCTCAACCCATGTAATGGCATCAGACTGGGCTTTGAATGCACGAAGGACTGAGCAATATGCTTCTTGCTCAAGTTGTTGAATTTGTGCTTCCATATCAGTTGGTGCCCTAGCATATGAACTGGCAGCAGGAACCAGAGATCTCCCATTACCACTGACACGTCCGCTGCCTCTGATACTCCTACTATGTGGAAATTGTGGAAGATCATCATCAGTTCCTGCAACCAACATAGAATTGAGGATGCAACATTTACTGACAACAGCAGCTTTAAAAAAAATACCCATGGTGCTAGCAGAATACACAAATAGATCAAATTTCAAAATGATCTTGCGAACAAGACAGATATACTTTGATGATTACAGAAATAGTAGTTATATTGTTCATAACAAGAATATTTAGCAGTTCTGGAGGGCAACTACTTTTGAATACACATCACAAACAACTTTTGAGGAAACTAATATTGATATGGTTCACAACTTCCCTAAACACACTGGCCCATCTGCACAAAAAGTCATACTGTATAATATTTACACACCAGACCATTCAACCTTATCACAAACCAAATTTTTTTGAAACAAATTATAACAATTCCAACAAAGCAAAAGAAGTTTTTCAGGAATCAGGACTAGTGCAATATCCACGGACTGAGACTCACTGCGATCAATTAAACAAATAAAGAAGTGAAAAAATCTCCAAGATAGCAAAGTGGTGCAATTTCTACCAATAGTCAAGGCCTACAAAAAGCTTCAAAATTAAAAGGCTGCATATTTTTAACAGCATAGTTCAGCTTACATGACAGATTGGACACAGCTCACAACAATAAGTAGGCTAAAAGGCTGGACACGTTTTGTTAAATAAATCAAGAATCTAACAAACATGAGGTACAAGATAGGTCATCGAAATCCAGTTGGTTGGCCCCAACATAATACTTACACCAAATCACTTGGGCAAGGTTGGAATGTAAACTGCTAGCTGCCCTAAAAAGGAACTATTCTCAATGCCTCAATCAATACATTGATGTAACTACTAAAATTCATCTAGCATTCCATGCCAGAAATCTTAAACTCTTGTATATAGGATATGCTAAGATAAAGCAAAGCACTGAGAATCACAAACAAATTCGCACAATATAGAGCAATAAGCAATATCACAAGAAGACATCATCAGTTACCAGATTGGCAACTTCAGGTACTTCACCAATTTTATCTGCAATCCCTTAATCACACTGGCTATTTGGAGATGACATTATGATATGCACTTATCACTCGTTCCAGAATGTGAAAGCTAAAGAATCAGGCTCTAAGCTCGGGACATGGCATTTGTGACCCTAGCCTCTTAAGTTGTTACAGACATCTAAAGATTATGCAAGCATGGTTTGGCTGCTAATCAAAATCAAAAGATAAATAATAAATGTACCTAAAACATTGTCAGTTTCCAAACCCTAATACTAAGGTAGTAAATCCTCAATTGAGTCAAGCCCATAACACTCATTCTACATCAAACTAAATTTCATAAACATAACTGAATAGGTATTTCAGCAACATATAAATTACAAACACTATCGGCGCATACAAAGCCAACACTATCCGAGCGCACAAAACCAGATATCATACAGCAGCAAGTTTCCCATGAGAACTCCCAGAGTACCATGCTCCAAAGAGCCCCCTATACCAAATGTTCACCATTGGATACACAATTCGATTTTGCAGAAACAAAGGATACCAAGAGAGGAGAACCCCATTAATTCTCTAGCTGTCCAGAACAATTCAATATTTATAAGAACTCCAAACCGTGAAGCAAAGAAAATGAGAAATGAAGCTGAAACAGCCAAATTCACTCCACATGAAGGAAATTCGCACTTCTATTTGGCGGGTTGTATTTTCCTGATCCCAAAAACTGCAAATTATACAGAAACCCCCCAAATCCACCATGAGAAACTCAATTCACTAAAGCAGAAACCAATATTCCTGAGCAAGAATTCACCACAACACCCAAGTTCCAACAACGTATGGTTATTTCCCCAAAACTGGTGAATTCCACATAACTCTAACCCCAAAACCCTGCTCCCGTCAGGCAAGCTCAAACCCTAGCTCCCAAATCCATCCAACCACCCTGAGGACGCGACCTTGTAGCCCCCTCATCTTCACAGCCAAGGAACTGGCATTCGCTAGGAAGGACCTGAAGCAAGCAAAACCCTAGGGGTGGAACCCAAACCCTAGGCAAGATGGCGGACCCTAGCTCGAGCTCCCCCGCACTCACCGCTGCTATCGGAGGGCCGGTATTCCATAGCCGACCCTCGGGGGCGACTCCGCCAACCACCACCCACACCACCGGCGGTGGTGCAACAGGCGCGAACCTGAAAGCGCCCAACGAACAGGGGTCAGCTCCCTCCACCACGCCGGGGCTCCAGCTGCCACCCCCCAAGGCCGCCACCGTGGCGGCCAAGGGTCAGCGAGCGCTCACCTGCGGCGGATGCGGGGGCGCGGCGGGGAGGCGGAATCCGGCGAGATTTGGAGGAGGCGGAGAGGCTGGGGGTGGGGGAGGAAGAGAGGAGAGCTAGCTGTGCTGTGCTACTGCTGGTATGGTGTCGGGCACTTCGATTTCGGGCAAGCGAGAGAAACGGAGGAGAGAGAAAATAGCGAGCCGACGGACTTGAAGCGGATTTTATAACCGTGGACTGCCCGTACTGCAGTCTGCGGGTAGATGCTGCAAACGTTGCCGGACCACAGTCTACAGTAGCATTAGGCCCGTCTGGATCCACGGTGCAATAGGCAGCGTCTGGATCACAAGTTTTAAGAATCGAAAAAAATCTTGAAATCTTGAAATCTCCTCCAAACACTCAACGGTTTAGAGGATTCTAACGGCCACCCGTTCGCTTGGCTGATAAGCCATGGCTGAAAGTACTGTTGACTGATTTGTTGTGAGAGAAAAATATTATTCATTGGCTGAAAAAGTACGGCTTATAAGCCAAGCGAATAGGACGAGCGTCTCCAAAAGATTAGCTAAAAAAGACTAGCTAAATTTACTAATTTATCTATTCTTTAAAATAGATTTGAACCAAAAAAATTATTTTAGTAATCCAACAGACTCTGTAAAACCCAAGATGCTAGATGGCTAGTGAAGTAGGCTATCTAAAAGTAGAAAGCGAATAAGGTGGGAACAAGACCTACTAAATTTGGAGAGTCGTTTACATAGTCTGTTGGAGATATTTTTTCTTTAATAATAACCAAATTTACCTTTAGGAAATGATTTGGCTAATCTTCTGAAGATACTCTAATACACAGACACAGAAAAAAAACTTCAGAGATTATTTTTATCCAAAATCCGGATTTTATAATCTCATCTAAATATGCCCTTGACATCCCATTAAGACCTGTCTTATTTCTTGTCTCAACAAGCTAAAACAATTTATGGCTCCCCTTTGAATTGTAGAAAAAATGTGGGTTCTCATTTCTATGGGTGAGTACTGTAGCATGTTTTGGTTCGTAGAAATCACTTGCATGAAAAAGAAACTTTCTTTTAAGTTCGATTTTATTGGAAGACTATGGAAAAGAAACATCCACTCAAACTTCATGCTTCTTGTGTTTTTTTTTTCTGTAGATGATCCAAACACTTATTCCTATAAAATCCTATGTTTCTCATTTCTCTGATTTACATATGCATTCCTATTATATTATTGTGTTTTTTTTGTTCATGTATTTTTTTTCAATCATATGTTCCAACTGACGAACAGGAAGAGCCTTGGTGAATCCTTGTGTAATTTGGTCACCAAATGGAACAAAATCAATGTCAAGTAATTTGTTGGACACATGTTCTCTCCCAAAGTGATAGTCCACTTTAATGTGTTTTGTCCTTACATGAAAAAATGGGTTAGCGGACAAATATTTTGAATCAATGTTATCACACCACAATTTTGCGGTACGTGGGCTTTGTATTTCTAGTTCCAATAAAGTCTGAATCAACATTATTTCTGTTGCGGCATTGGCAATAGCTTTATATTTTGCCTCTGTACTAGATCTTGACACTATGAGTTGTTTGCGTGCACTCCAGGAGATAAGATTAGTTCCAAGAACAATAGCAAACCCACCGGTTGACCTTCTATCATCTAGAGATCCTGCCAAGATTAGTTTTGTTGGTTGATAACTTAGAGCTTTTCAAAATGAGGTCTTTTTGTTTCTGGGTCAGAAATTTCGGACCCTAGTCAGAATTCCCGAAGTCCTATTGACTACTCTCACAAAACAATGTGCATAGATTCAAAATGCTCTAAGGATCGAAATTTCCAATCCCTATTGGAATTTTTGATACTTCACCCGAATACACTATAAGGGCTAGAATTGTGTGGGGAGTACATATATCTCTCTCCCTTCTCTCCTCATAAAACTACACACCACTAGGGCCTAACACACGCCAAGAACACTAAAAGCCCTCATCTCAACCTCCCCTTTCTCCCTCTCTTGTGCATCTTGTGATTGACTCCTCTATTTGTGGAAGGGAGTGCTTGAGGGGTGTGTAAGAAAGCTTGTGAACTCCATTTTCTAGATCTTTGAGCACTTGTGACCTTGCCGGTTCATTGATTTCAATTTGTTACTATTGGATTTTGATCTGTTGAAAATCCTAGGCGGCTAGGTGTTGCCCGGGAGCTCTCCATCTGTGGAGATCCCTAGGAAGTTTGTGTTACCCATCTTTTCTAGTGAATTTGTGTCGGGTTGACCTTTGTGGTTTCCTTGGCAAGAGGAGAGTTGTAAGAGACTCACATTTGTGGTCTGCTCAACAATGGGGAAGTAGGTACAACTTATGGTGTGACCGAACCTCGGATTAAATCACATGTTCTTGACCTAGTTCTAGGTTTCTGTTTGCCCGATCTACTTGCATCGAAGGTTATAGGGCTCTTCAATGAGTTGAACACATTTCATCTACTCCTCTACATGTGTGGTAACTATGGTTCAATGTTACATTGATCATATCACTTGATTAGCTCACACTCTATTTCCCAGGTTTGGAGTTTTGAGGTCTAGGACCGGATCAGAAAATTTCGAGTTGGACTGGGATTTTTAACCTGGAGATTTAATCCGTTGTCGAGCTGATTTTCAGGTTTAGCCTATTTGCCCCCTCTAGGCATTGTCGATCCTTTCGTACTTGGCGATAATACCGCTAGCCATAAACTTGTTGGGCAACACACACAAAATACTCGAGTTTCGTATGCTAGTGTATGTATTTCATGAGCTTGTTCCACTACAGATCGGTTATCAATTACCTTGTAGTCATATAGCTGCTCCATGACATATAGCTCACTACCAGCATCGGAAACACCAAACGTTGTCTCAAGTGCTCCCCATAACTCTTTGCTATTCAACAGCGACATGTAGACATCCACCAAGTATTTAGTGAGAACACTGTTGCCAGTCATTAACATCAATTATAAATTGTCAATATAACCTGCATATATACTTAATTCCATCACCAAACATAGGAATAGGGGTTTTAACTAATAAATTCCATGAGCTTTGGTGAATATGCGACTGCAGAAGGATTTAATTAGAAACCCGTCAAGGGGGGCCTATTCGTCAAAGTAAATCACGTTTATCCGCGACGGCACCGACTTGGAAAGACTCTAGAACACTTCAGGAGGCGAACCACCGAAGATGGAGGCAAACGGTGCCGGAAGTGGGCCGGCCGGCCTATGAGGAAGCCCATTCGACCCCTCCTTCGTATGTCGGTTTCCCACCGCCTTTAAGGTTCAATCTCCGCCGCTGCTTTAAGTCAGTTTGATCCTAGGATCCAGAATTGACGCTACCCCCATCCCTGAAGCCATCCTAAAACCCTAATTCATATCCTCAGGATTAGGAGAACCAGCAATCAAGAGAAGATTAGTCCTCTATAGGATCTAGTCTTATAAATAGAAATAGTGAGATAGAGAGCGAGGAAAGAGTTTGGATGAAGTGTCGGCCTATCGGTGCTCTCTCTACGGCTTGTACCTTGGCAGAATCAAGTTCTACTTGAGCTTGTTTCTAAGACTTCTCTGATAATCAACTTCTGATTCAAGTAAGCATCTTATTTATATTGTTCATAGGATCGTGACTCTTTTAAGTGCTTTATTCTCTTCCTAGGGAGAGTAAAGTATTAATCGTAAGTGTAAGCGTGGTGCTTATACTTAGGTTAATCGTGGATGCACCCTGCATTCCGGACCGGTGGTAGATCGCGAGGTAGCGTTAGAACGCAAGTGTGACACTCTCGTTGAGTCCTCTGTAGTCCACCTCCCGTTTGTAGGCCAAGTAGGACCCGGTTATGAAGAAAAGCATCCTCTATTGGTGTATTTTTCTTAGTAATGTCCTTAGTTGAATAGTAGAAGATATAGCTTACCGAAGTCAGAACTAGAGAAACTTAGTTATCCTCACTACGCTCCTATTTATCCTTAGCCTTGTTGCTACCCCTGGTTAAGTTAGATTGTAGTTAATCTCACACGTTTTCCTGTGGATACGATACTTGAAATACTTCCGGATGAAAGCTACAGCAGTATCCGTACACTTGCGGATTTATTTGTGTGCGTTAATAAATACCAACAAACATTAATCACGACGTCTTAAAATAGGTTATCGACAGCCTTGAACGCTTTATCCTCTTTAGGATTAAATTGTTCAGGCTTCTCCTATGGGACATGATATATGTTCATAGCCATCAGCCACATGATCATCTCAGCACGCCACCACTTGTAATTGGCGCCATCAAACATGTTTGTCTTAAGAGTGGACACAAAACTACTAACCAAAAAGTGCCTAAAATCAGGTTTTTGGATTGTTAGATATTTGAGCAAATTTAGGCAAGATTTATTCTAGAAAAATAATAAAAGATTTATAACATCATGTGCATGTGTGACCTACTCGTAGAATCCTAGTAGCAAACATGAGGAATATGAGGACACTGATCAGAACAAACGTACTGCATTTAACAAATCGAGCAAAGACAGATGTATACCCAGGACGGATCAGCACCGAGGGATCCGGCGGTGCTATTCTTACTAGTTGACATAGTGAACGAATAACCACCAGGAAATAATTGTTCACTGGGATCATGCCCGTGCATTACTACGGGAACAAAATAATATTATGACCGAGCTCGTCAGAGCCTGGCTGAGGCCACCTGCGCCAAGGCCATTGTTACCCACGCCGGGGCCAAGCTCATCAGAAGCCAGGCGAGGCCACCCACGTTAAGGCCAAGGCCGTGGCCGTGGCCGAGCTCACGCTGAACGCCCCCTACCGAAGCCCTCATCCACATGAAGAGGAATGGAAGACAACAAATAGCGTTGGCGACGGGGATGACCGCGTACCTCACCTTTTGAGGGATGACGAGTCCCGAACCTTAAGGAATATTCTCTGTTATGGACGGTTCCACCCCACCTAACTCCAGCATAGGTTACAATAGAGAAAAAATAATGCCACGATAATTCAAGTTGAACATATGTTATACTTTAACCAAAAAAAAATGATACTTCAAGTGATGTTTGCAACGTTTCGTTTGTAGCCAGTCATCAATATTACATGAGTTTTCATGAAGCATGAACAATTATAGAGCAGTAGAAACACATCTGTAACAATTGCTTCTTCCTTATGGATGTTTGCAACAGAAAGGATCTTCATCCTCCAGAGAGCACATGCTCGACATCTCAGTGGGCTCCGTCAGCACAACCTTGCATTGGTCTATCTACTACTGTTGACACTTCCTGTGGATAAGCTGCAGACACCAATGCAACAGCCAGCAGCTCTGCATAGGCGCCGATCATTGGGTAGTCGCTGAACAACATCGTGCTCTACAAAGATGAACAACCTCATGCTCTACAAAACTTGCAATATTGCTGAGATTGGGTGATATTACCAGAAAATTAATATCTTCATCCTATGCAGCTGCAACAGCTTTGCTCTAAGAGGGACTTCATTCTCAGCGTCACCAAGTGTATCATCGGAGTCGCCTTGCCACACATATGCGATCATTAGAGCTCACAATGCTAGTGATGGCTGCTTTCTCTAGGAAGGCAACATTCTATTCTCTCTGATCAGTGCTGCAGCTTTCCCTCATAAACCTCTATCCTTCATTATAGTTTTAGCAATCAATGATGAATCATGCAGAGGGGGGTACCATCTTGATAATTGAAATATTCAGAAGTGTTGCTACTACATCAAAATTCCGTATTTGAAAGCGGTAAACAGCAGAGAAGAATACTGAAAGGAGCATGGAGTTGTGAAGTGGCCAATAATAGTAGCTACAATACCAAACATTTGACAGCACAAATAACTGATAGTGTAAACAATGTATTGATAAGATTTAAATTAAAAGGCATAAAGCCCAACACCTTACTATTAAAGCCATGATATTAAGAACAGTGATACATCAAGTGTCACAAACCAATTGCTACATTCAAGAATTGACATCTATTATAGATGGATAGAACAACTGACTTAAAAAGAACAAAACATGGAAAGTTTGAGAGTGAATAGGGAAAGAACACACCTTTGATTCCATGAAGGATATGTAGAAATTTGTTGTGCATGGATTGGTACCAATGACATGTCGCTGGCTTTCTGCTCCATACAGAACATACCATGAAGGCTGCTTTATTCCTAAACAAATGAATGAAAATTGTGAGACTACAAGATTTAGTGAAACATAATCAATCATGCCACTCTCAGGACATTTATAATTTGTGCCAATGCAAGATATGAATTTCTCTCCTTTATAAACCATGGATATAGCGGCTCTAAGTGATACAAATTAATTGAGGTATATGCATTGTAGGCCCTTGAACTTGTCTCATGGTGCCACTTAGGTCCACAAACTCTCTAATCGTACTTCTAGCACCCTAATGTTGTTTAAGTATGTCACTTAGGTCCATAACTCATCGGATCAAGGCTTTTGCCGACGTGGCGGGGACAGAGCGCACGTGAGCCTGGTTTGAGCGGCCACACGAACCAGGGCTTGAACAGTGGCACCTCGGGCGGCGGCGTGGCCTTGGTCAGGACCTGCAGCACCTGCGGCATGGTGGGCCGGTCACCCGGGTTGGGACTGCTGCACGCCAGCGCGAGCAGCAGCAGGCGTCCGGCCTCGTCGTGGTCGAACTTGTCGGCACCGAGGCTCTGGTCCACAGCGCCGAGCAGCGCGCCGCGGCCGTGCATCTGCCACACCCAGTCCGACAGCAGCGGGTACCGAGGGTCGCCGGCGCGGAGCGCAAGCTGCCCCGTGACCACCTCCAGCACGAGCGCACCGAACGCGAACATGTCCGTCTCCCGCGACGCCTTGTGGCCGACGGAGTACTCGGGCGCGATGAAGCCACACGTGCCGGCGACGTGCAGGTCGGTGAAGGTCTCGCGGTCGTCGTCGAGCACTCGTGCCAGCCCGAAGTCGCCCAGCCGCGCGCGGAAAGACGCGTCCAGCAGCACGTTGCTGGTCTTGACGTCGCGGTGCAGCACCATGCGGGTGTACTCGTGGTGCACGTAGTGAAGCCCCGCCGCGACGTCGCCCACGATGGCGTACCGCCTCGCCCAGCTCAGCACGGGCCACCGCTGCTCGTGGACGCCGCGCCAGAACAGGTGCTGGTCCAGGCTGCCGTTGGGCATGTACTGATACACCAGCAGCAGTTGCCCTTTCTTGTAGCACCAACCTGACAGAAATGCAAGCGACGCAGTGCTCGTCAGATCAGATTGGAAAAAGAACAAGACGCATCTCATCGTCCAGTGGACGTCACTGCACGTTCGCTCTAACAACTATAACCTACTCTGTCGTACGCGAACCCCCTGGGCATCCCGGGGAGGTTGCTGAGCTGCTGCTCCAGCCGCTCCTGCCGCCTCTCCATGGACCGCCTCGCGCGCAGCTTCCTGGCGAGGAAGAAGGCGGCGACGCCGACCGCGACGACGGTCACCGGCACGACGACGGCGACGATGACGACCCACGTCGTGCTCTTCTTCTCCGGGATGACCTCGATCGACAGCGTCCAGTCGAGGATGCAGTTGAGCTCGAAGTCGGTGCCGGTGGACGCGGTGAAGCCGATGCACGCCTTCTCCGGGACGTGCTCGCTGAGGTCCAGCGGCGAGTCCAGCACCGGGGACGCTGGCTTCGGCTCGCCCCGGACGCCCATGTACACGGACACGTGCCGCGCCGCGCCGTCGTACTCGACCCAGGCCGTGTAGTTGGTGGGGTTGCTGCTGTTCGTGGCGATGCGGAACGCCGTCAGGTCCGCCGTCTTGACGGACACGACAGAGCGGACGTTGAGGCCGACGTGGTTGTCGCTGGGATCGTAGTCCTGCTTCGTGGTGTCGAACTCAACGGCCACGAAGCGGTTCCTCGCCGGGGTTGGGTTGGCCTCGAGCGTGGCGTTGGTGAGGCCGAGGTAGCCGCCGTAGCTACCGGGGGGCGGCTCGTCGCGGGACGGCGCGACGACGAAGGTGAGCCCCTCGCCGGGCCACGGCGACGAGTCCGGGAGGTGGAACACGTTGATGGAGAAGGTGCTGTTGAACGACACGACCTGGACGCGCGGGGCCGTGGCACTGCCACTGCCATTGTCGACGCGGCGCCACATGGTGAAGCGGCGCTGGAGGAGCACGGAGCCGGACTTGTTGACCATGATGTCCTGGTAGCTGCCGACGTTGCCGGTGTCCGGGGAGACCTGGATCGCGCCCTGGTAGATGCGGGCCTCCATGCTGAACGCCAGCTCCTTTTGCTCCCGCGAGTTGCCCTCCTGGAACGACGTGTAGTTGTAGGTCTCCACCTCCAGCGCCGGCAGCGGCTGCAGCTGCCCGTGCCCCGGCTCCTGCGCGCGGCAGACGACGGCGCAGAGGCAGAGCAGCGAGAAGACGAGGAGGCAGCCTAGTAGAGGTGACAGAGCAGAGCGACCACGTCCACGTCCACGTCCGCCGCCGCATGCAGCAGGCGCCATGACCACTCACGCGCGGCTCAAACGTGCGCTCTGTCCCCGCCACGTCTGGCAAAAACCTTGATCCGATGAGTTATAGACCTAAGTGGCATACTTAAACAACATTAGGGTGCCAGAAGTACGATTAGAGAATTTGTGGACCTAAGTGGCACTACGAGACAAGTTCAAGGACCTACGATGCATATACCTTAAATTAATTTTTCAGGTAATGAACGTAAGCTCAAGAGAGGAATTTCTACAAACATTTTAGCATGATAACTACACATGCATGTGCTTTCCTGTATGAGCATTTTTCTCAATTGCTTAGCACCTACCAAAGAGTGTGGTTCACTTCGTGAAATGTTGATCAAGCCGTCACCTGACCTTGATGGACGAGCCAAATGCCAAGCATCTTCTTTTAACTTTACAACATCAGCCAAAAAGGAATTTGAGTTCAGGTAGAATAGGATTATAAGAGGCTACATTAAAAAATAAAAGAAAATGACAATGGTGAGACAAACTAAATCATTCATCGTGAAGGCATTACATTAGCCTATGGTGGATTCAGAAAACTTGTTGGTCTGCAGAGCTGACTGGAGCACAGTAGCACACTGAACTGTGTTTTGCAACTTCCGTTCTGCAACAGCAGAGGCATGTCTTTCTGTATCAATAGCTACTTCTTGCAGCAAGAAAATCAAGCTAGAGGAAGCACCATTACTTGTTGTATCAATAGCTGTAAATGAAAGCAGCTCAATATCAAACTGTATGGTTGCATTGGTGGAATAGGTACGTTGTTTTGTCAGCTTCTCCTTAATCATTCTTCTTTGAGTGCAGGATAAAAATTAAATTCATTACTCCTAAATCAATCAACAAAGAATTATAACCGGTACAGAATCCTCAATTTCCTTTGTAAATGCGTTCCCAAACACAAAATGCACCAGACATAAGTAACTGGCCTGAAACCGTGAAGATGCATGAACACCAATGCAGAGAAAAAAAAATGACACACTGCTGCATGACTGAAATTTCGGGGTGCAGGAAACAAGGCAGAGATCAAAGGATCTCACCTTGGCTCACCAGCTTGTTGCATATGGGCAACACCTGCTGCATGAAAGGCACAAATTATTCCACTTTGGACGGTTCCTCATCCGAAATTTAGACGCCTCATTCAAAACTGAAACCTTGTAGTAAATATTTGATACTTCTATACTAATCGATATATTTCTTTATTAGGGTTTAAGCAAAGTTTTTTTTTTTTCAAGCACCGCAATTGATCCTGCTCCTATGATTGATGTTTCCCCTCCAAATCGACCCTCAAGCCACACTTAACAACTTTGACCAAATGGGAAAAACAGAGAGTAGATCAGTACTGTTGTTTCTAATTTTTTTAACACAGTTTCTTGGATCCTTCATTGACTGTTAAGAGTCAACAACGGTCCTGGTGACCTCAGATCAAACCAAAAATCAAAACTAAAAGAAAAAAAATGGTCGACCCAATCCGTGCACTTATCACCTTATCGTGCATGGAGAGGATGAGGTAGCCGGTGGCGTCGAGGAGATCGTGGCAGTGACGGACGCTCAAGATGGCGCTCTTGCCCCGCAGCACGACGACGATGTTAGCGCGTTGGTGAGGGTAACGTTACCGTCGGAGAGGCTGAATGGCTGATGTCCTTTTTTGGCGAGGGCGGCCGCTGTGCGTGATGGCGACGAGCATGCGTACCGCCGCAAGGGTGAGGGTGAGGAGGGCGAGGACTGCAGGGGAGGGATCAACAGCGAGGGCGTCGGTGACAGCGTGGGTGCAATGAGCGCGCACACCGCCGCTAGGGTCAGGACGAGGGCTGTGGGGGAGAGGGATTCATCTTTCCTTTTGTGCTGGAGCGAGGCGCGGGGGAGATGGATCGATGATTGGAGCCGGGGGATCTTCGCGCTTTCTGCTTCCTTCTTTCGATGGCATCATCGCGCGGGGCCACCGCACGCTAGGCGGAGCGAAGGCGCGCACACGATTTCTGCACGTGAGGGAGCACGGGGCTGGGTCCACCGCACGCCGGCCGGAGCCAAGCGCGGGGGTCGACGATTCCCCTACAAATGTTTTAGTTATATAATAGAGATAGATAGAGAGAGAGACTAATCACCCGGCAATATATAGACGTACATCTCATTTAACTTGACAACAGGTACACTCACAATGTCTATTTGAATTGAGTCAATACTTAGTCAAAATCTCATATGAGACTATGACTTTAATACACATAGCATTTAATATAGGTCTTAAGATTTATTTGATTTAATTGAATTAAAATAAACTAACCCCTGATTATAATCAAGAGCAGTATCTCCTAGATATTTCCATTCATGCAAAGAACACGCAAATCAAAATGGGGATCTATATTCTTGTCTTTTCCCCACGCGCAATTTCATCACATATGCTACAATTAACTCTTGATGCATGAATGCATGCAATCATGAGGGATTTCAAATCTTGGGTTCTTGCGGCATGCATATTATCTTCCTTGAAGTACCAAAATGAAGTGTGCCCTAAAATTTGACATATCTCAAGATTCATACGTTCATATTCGCACACAAAAAATGAAGTTTTCCTTTTTCCTAGCCTCTATGGTAATATGTTTAATAGCATCATTTCATACTTCCTCATTCTAGTAGCATGAACAATACGTAGAAAATATGAAAACAAACTTTACATATGACGCAGCTGTCATCAAACGTGGAAAAGGTTATAATTATTGATATTGATAGACTGCCAAAACCATTAATGTTATAGCTATAGAACAGAAATATTATTTTAACACAACAGGATCTGAAATGATACGTTCAATCAGCATGATCGTTGGGCTGGCTAGGGCTGGCTGGGCTGGCCAGTCCCCTCACATGAGTACTGTTCACCTAAACCAGCCAGCAGTATTTCTCTCTCACATAAACGAACCAGCAACGATACGAACCAGCCAATCGAACAGGCAGAATAATTCAGCGTGGAAATATTCTAATTAAGCCCCTGCAAACTCTTGTCTTGTCGCTGCCTGTTCCTGTATATATAGAGGTAGAAACATCAAACTGGAAAATTCGGATCGATCGAACGAAGATCACATCGCATTGAGGCACCCTAGCTACTTACACTTGCACACGCACACCTCTTTAGTTTGTCATGGGAGCCAAGGCGCTCTTGTGTGCTTTCTTCTTCCTTCTGCCGTCGGCAACGGTGACGGGGAGACCAAGACCAACCCTGCAGAATGGCCCTGGCCGAACACCACAAATGGGGTAATGGATTATTTCCCTCCTCCTCAGTTCTATAAGCTTTTGCTTTTCTAGCTATATATACGGTTTTATTATGCAATTAGATATATACTATATTTAGAGATGGTACGGATGGCACACAACACTGTCGCCATCAGGCCCTTTGCTTGCTCTTGCTCGCCTCTCTATCACCAGACGGAGGATGGCTACACTAGGGCGTATTTCCTCTCTCCACGAGCATTCTTCTGCGGAGAGATGACACAATCGATGACAGCAATTCAAATCTCGTGGTCCGAGGCTGGATCTGTGTGCTCCATGGCCAGATTTGTTGGATCTATAGCCGAATCTAGCGTCTACATGTGCAGATGTGTCATGTGGAAGCTAAGTGGTGTCAATGTGGTTGATTGCTAGTAGAGGGCAAAAAGGGTGTCATGGAGGTTAGATCTTGGCTTCCGACATCCCTATGTCTAGATCTGGTGCTATCTAGGCTAGTTGTGCGCTTGGGGTTGCTTCGTTATGGAGTAATCCTTATGCAGGTGGTACGGACGAATTTGAAGGCATGGTCCACATTCAAGCCACCAACAAGCAGATGACGACGATACATGGTACGACGGTGAGGTTCTATATATGCCGTAGCTCTCGAGGGTGGCTCTGCCATGGCCTTGAAGCAAGGTGCAGAACTTTCGATGTTTTACTGGCGGACATATCACAGTCCAAGAGTGACTATGCCATGGCCTCAAGTTTTGGTGCAGAACTCTCGACATGTTATTGACGTAAAGATGTTGGTGAAAGCCTTGCTGGTCTCGAGGACGGCGGCGCCTTTAAATGTCATTCTCCTTCTTGGAGGTGTTGTCATGGCACTTCACAATCCTCTTATCCACTGTTCTCCAAGTGAAAACCTTGGTTGTCTAGGCGTCAGGATGAGCAACCCCAACCCCTTAGCTGTCGGCATCGAATTTATGCAAGATACATTGCATGCTGTCTTAACTAGAGGAATGCGGACTCTAGATTCAAGTCATGTTGTTGGAATTGGTCAACAAGTTTGAATGGCAAAATCAGATTAGGATAGAGACTTGAGTCTGGTTCTTTTGTTTCATGTCTTAATTAATTTTGTATCACCGTATGGTAAAGTATTGTTATATGGCTATACCCTTTAATTTGTGAATGTTGGTGGAATGTTATATTCCTTAATATATACATAGAAAAGCCAAAATGGCATATAATTTAGAACGAAGCGAGAAGCGAGTACTATTAATTTCCTGTTTTTTCTTCTTTCCCCATGGAGTTGCATGTGACCACAGTGACCAAGCCTATTTCTTTTGTAGTGCAGTTGCAAAATGTAAGGTGGTGCATCTCTTAACTGACTGTACGACAATTTCAGGTGGAATAGTTGGAATCACTTCGCCTGCAACATAAACATCGGGCTCTTGTTCATCACTGGTGCCATGCCTTGATGTCATCAGCTGGTTGTGGCGTCCCATCCCGTCTCGGCGGATAGCGTGGTGAACCGACGTGCCTGTCAGCGACCGTACGGGGATTAGGCAGCATAGTGACCACGCACTTGTCACTGTTGGCGATGCGAACCCCCAGGCGTGGCCTGACGTGGCCATGGGTCACGTCGAGATGTGCCCGCTTTCCCTTCCGGTGTCAGAAGTTTGACCCTAGGGTCGTACCCTTAGACCTGTAGTGGTTGGAGGCGGTATGGGTCCCCGTCAGGCGAGACGGAGCTCTCGCCCTTAGGGTCGGGTGAGATGGCTCCCGTACCCCTGAGGTCG